TGTATGTATGTATGTATGTATATATGTATGTATGTATGTATATATGTATATATATATATGTATGTATGTATATATGTATATATATATATGTATGTATGTATATATGTATATATGTATATGTATGTATGTATATATGTATATATGTATATGTATGTATATATGTATGTATGTATATATGTATATATGTATGTATGTATATATGTATATATGTATGTATGTATATATGTATATATGTATATATATATATATAATCTTGTGTGTGTGGTCACAGGTGCGTCTCCTGTGTTTGGCCACTCAGCATGGTGATCTGCAGAGTGTGTGTTACCTCCTGAAAGATGCCCGTATCGCTGTGCCCCTTGAGCCATCCAACAGCAACCCAGCCATCCTGGCAGCATACTACGGCCACGCCAGCCTGGTCAAAGAGCTGCTGGATTCCATACCTGGTAGGAGGGAAAGAAACAGCTCAACATTCACAGTATATGGATCAGGACAAGCCTTTTGTTTCATTAATAACATGCGTTCATTCATTTCTAAATGGAAGTCTAGTTGATGTCCTGCAGGTTATTTAATGACATCTTTTTAGTCTTACTGTTTCTGCTTCAACACCTTACAATAAACAAAGTCGGGGAGCTCTACCACTTTAATGTCAGTCCATTAACTGTAGTATGGATAGTACTACTCTGTGTATAATGTCCTCTGTGTCTCTGGACAAGCTGTCAAGTCTGAAAAATAACCCCGACCATGTCATAGTGATTATCAGGTTGATCTCGGCTTGGACTTAAAGACTAAAAATCAAAAACTATCATCGATGAAATATTCTGCCTGACAGAAAACCGTGAGTGGTTGATTATGAAGTATAGTATGTCCTCTTTGCTGATCTCCACTGACTGGTTTCGGGTCTCCGCCTCCCTCTCAGGTCCATGTCTGAGGAGAGACTTGCTGAACTGGATGCTGGCTACCTCTTGCCAGCAGGGTCACCTGGACGTGGTCCGGCTGCTGGTCCACGGCTACGAAGCTGATGCCAAGGACTGTGCCATCCACAGCGACGAGTTTGCTGTCATCACTGGGCTGCCACTGTACGCTGCTGCACAAGCAGGTAGGCAGACGCATAAGTCCACATCATCTGTGCTTCGACCACAGCAAACGGTTGGAACATGACATTTTTTGCTGTTCTATTGATGCAAACATTATTTCAAAAGTATGCAAGTCCTACATTCATGTCCTGAAAATACAGAGAAAACTGACATGGGTGCTTTCCATCCAGCTAAAGGTCTTCACCGTATTCCTAACATCTTAGTAGCTAACTACAGCTGTGGTTCTGTCATTTTGTCTTCCCAACTTTCTGTTTAGCAAAAGTGCCGTGTTTTTTTTAAGTGCGTTTGTTGAGCCGTTGTCGTGCTTTCTTGCGATTGGCTCAGCTGTTTCAGAACAATGAGACCAGTGATGTGATTGGCTGAGAGTCTATTTATTCATCACCACACCATCCGATCGATATCCAACTTCACCCAGCCCGATTGCACTTTGTGCTGCTGCGCCTACATGAACCAAAATAGCAGACGTTTTGTCGTTACTTCCAAAATAAAAGGTCTTATTGAACATCTGGCACACAGCAGCTCCAGACTGATGCTGGGTAGACGTTGTGCAGATTGAGTTCTGCCAGATCGGTTGTCTTGATATTTAAGGGGGACTCAGGCAAAGAAGAACGAGATGGGTGTGAACTTAAATCTTGCTTGAATAAACTTTATTTAAATGGTCACAGGACAAACGGACTGAGGGTTCCATGAGTGTCAAAGGCACGATGAGTAGGACTTTCCTATAAAACGATGTATAGACTGATGGAAAAATAATCCCTATCCATTATCATTTCTGACTCACCGGAAGTGTGTGGTGTGTCTATCTACAGAGACCCTGCCCTCTGCCTTTTCTTATTTTACTGTGTTCATGGTGTTTCTGGATGTCAACCTTAATAAAAACATAGCAACCATGTGTCATATCGTAAGCACATATTCAAGAGGAAGCTACCAAAATAGAGGACACGGCCCCCGAAAAAACACTATAGCAAAACGCCACGTAGACAAAGGTCTTTCCACCTGCTGAGGAGGAGGGACCAACTTTGAATGTTGTGTTGACAAACCCAAGTCAATGTGCCTTTAACAAAACATACCAGATGAATAAAAACGTAGTGTCCAACCAGCTTGAGATGAGACATCACTTTGATGGACAAACGAATCGGAAAGCCTCAGAACGCCTTAAAAGGTCTTTTTAACATTTATAACATTTATTTATATTTATGCATGTTATGTTTCTTCATGATTTTGGACTTTTTATGAACGTGCCGGAGATACCTATGATTTGTGTTTGACACAGACGCAGTAAGCTGCCACACAGCCTACAGTGGCCATGTGCACACGGTCCTCTTAATGCACACATTGGGACAATGAGATCTTCAAATGCTGAACAACTGCAAGACAAAAGCACGCGTCGGAAACATGTCAATGTATTTGTAGAAGTGCTGCAGCAGTACTGGGGACAGACACTGAGTGAAAACTGTCCACCTCTGTTGCTGTGAACACATGAAGTGTGTGTGAACATGTGTGTTGTGTTGCAGGTAATGAGGAGATAGCTCGCTTCCTGCTGAAGAACGGAGCAGGATTCTCCTCATACACCCTGATGGACCATCCGGCCTTCAGCAAACACCTCCTCAGACTCAAACTACAGGAAACCTCCAACGCAGAAGGAGAGGAGGTCTGTGGTCTGGAAACAAAGGGGTTACTGAAAATGTGTTTCTGAACCGATCAGAGCAGAGCACCATCGTTAATCAGGATTCATAGTTAACAATAGATCTCTTAGATCTCTTGTGCCATTAGCTTTCAAACATCACAGAAGTTTAAATTTGAATTGTGTTTAGAGCATACAACATATATAGGAAGTGATGTCACCCAATGTCAGCGGTGTATAAAGTACCCAAAAGCCATACTTGAGTAAAAGTAAAGATACCTTACTGGAAAACTACTCCAGTGAAAGTCACCTATTAGAATACTACTTGAGTAAAAGTCTTAAAGTATCTGATATTTATTGTACTTAAGTATCAAAAGTAATTTTCTGATATTAAATGTACTTAAGTATTGAAAGTAAAAGTACAAGTAAATGCTGTTAATAAAAAAGCAAAGTGTCAGAATTATGAAGTTTATTCTTTTAAGTGCTGTGGCACCATGACCAAGGACATGGAGCTGTGTTGAAAATAATTGTGTTGGCTGTGATCCATCCAGGACCAACAATGTTCAACATAATATATTGTACATAAGTATACTTTTGCATCTACTATGAACATATCATCATAATTCTCCGAAAAGCAATATGACACTATGAAGGAGTTGTAACAGTGCGTTTATAAGTATGCTCATTCTGACTAGAGGATGTAGAGGGCAAAAGCATAATATTGTGTTCAGCAACAAATATCCACTTGATGCATCAGGTCAGTGTTGTGAGAAAGGACACCTGCCTTGTAAACTCCTATGGGCCTGATTTGAACACAATAGGCAAAAGTTTTGCTCAAGCTGAATCTGCAATTGGGCGACTGCTACCATCATAACTCCATCTGATCATCCACAAAATGACTCAAATATCAAAACATGATCAATACTAAAGTAACAACCCAGTCATTACTTGAAACTGAAAAATGTCCCGTTCATCTTCAAAAGAAGTTGGTTTTCAAAATTGCGAGAATTCCGTCTCGCTCTTCTTGGGGTGCAGGGCCGAGATCCTTCTTGTGGCACTGGCACCTCTGTGGCAGTCTGTGGCACTCCGCGGCAAGCGTCAGCTGTGGCAGGCGAGCGGTACTAGTTCGGCACCCGTCAAGAAGCTGCGGAGCTGAGGGGGCGGAGCCACATTTCCTGAGAACACACATTGTTGTTACAACAGGTTAGCTTCCATAAATCAGTTTTATGATTTTAGTTGAGTCACCGGAGCCACCTGTTCTCTGTATGCATCCTTAGAGTAATTACGTTGTACTTGCCAACATTATATCTTCTCATCTTGGCCTTTTAACTTCTTCTGTTTCACCAGTCAATTCAGGATTTAAGTGTGACAATTAAATCAATGAAGTAGGTAAATTAGGCTTAGTGTTTGAAAAGAATGAACCAAACGTCTCTATTTTTCAATTGTCATTATTTATTGCTTCATGAACTACACATGCTCACTTTTCTATTACATAAAAATAACAAGTAAATACATGATGTATACAACTAGGTTGCAAATTAACCATCAACATCAAATATCAGATGAAATAACCTGCATTAAATACATCTCTATCAATAACACAATTAACAAAGACAGGTAAATATAACAACTATGGTTTAAATACACGTATACTGCCATCTAGTGGTATAAATGGTAAACACTCTTAATCTGCGTCTCCTTTTGCAGGCTATGCTCTGCGTTCACTCAAGCAGCAGCACAATACGGTGGAAGAATAAATAGCAACAACTCTGCACACACAAAAATGACTGATTAAACTATATTACAAACTGTATTGCATCAAACAATCCACAGATTAATCGAAAACTTGATCGAAAACTTCTTCACCCTGTGGCACTCTCTGGCACCCTGCAGCACTCTCTGGCACCCTGCGGCACTCTCTGGCAGCTTGTGGCACCTACTGACATACATATACATATAAGCAGAGGAAGAGTGAAGATATTTTCAGACATATTTTTGGATTGGACATTTTATGGGTTTTAATTTTAATTTTTTATATATACTTTTTTTACAAAAAAGTACAACGTAATTACTCTAAGGATGCATACAGAGAACAGGTGGCTCCGGTGACTCAACTAAAATCATAAAACTGATTTATGGAAGCTGACCTGTTGTAACAACAATGTGTGTTCTCGGGAAATGTGGCTCCGCCCCCTCAGCTCCGCAGCTTCTTGACGGGTGCCGAACTAGTACCGCTCGCCTGCCACAGCTGACGCTTGCCGCTGAAGTGCCACAGAGGTGCCAGTGCCACAAGAAGGATCTCGCTGTTTCTCCTTCTTGGGCTGAAGACTAGTCCTGCGATGCTAAATAGCCTTTCACAGGCCGCTGAGGCAGGTGGAGGTGTGTTCAGCTTCACAGACAGCTTGCACACAGCTGGGAAGGATTTCAGCAAGTTCATGTCATCTAAGCATTTTAGCAAGCCCCACTTGCTACACACACTTGCATGCATCTCCAACTCCGACGCGGTTCAAATCGTAATGCTGCGCTCTCGCGGCTCCTGTCAATCCTATGGTGTGGTGGCTAACGTTAAGTTAACTAACGTTAGCCAACTGACGCTTGTGCCACAGAGAGTGCCACAGAGTGCCAACTAGTGCTGCAATGATTATAGCTAAGATGACTCAAATCAACACAATCTCACAACTGTCAACACTTCCTCAGCTCACTAACTCGCTAGCGATCCTCGGGTGTTGGTTGGTCTTCGTCACCACCGTAGTTTGTTGCGGGAGTAGCAGGTGCTTCCATTTCTGCTTCCGTCATGAAATCAGTCATGTAGAGTGGAATTCTACTCATGTAGTCTCGCTAGCTATAGCATATAGCATCCTGGGCATCACTGGGAATC